CTTTCTGGACCTCTCCCCATCCAGCTGCTGAGAATTGCCAGGCTGGGAGGCCAGGCCCAAGGTCATCTGCCCCGAGCTCCCTCTGCAGCTCAGGCTTCTGTGGTTCCCAGCGAAGCGGCTGGCTTCCTGCCTCCCAGGGTGCTCAGCAGGACCCGGTGCCAGCAGCCAAGGTCAGGGCACTGGCTGGTGATGCAGCCCTACAGAAAGGTTACTGCTGCCCATCCTCCAAAACACAGTCTGCAGGCTTCACGTTGACAGCCCACAGCCTAGGTGGCATTGGGTGACTCGGGTGAGGTGGGACACAAGACAGAGCATGACTCCCTCTTTGGCATCAAGCCTATTTGGGTGTATTTGTGAATGACAGGTCTTGTCATACACTTTCCATGCCCAGCATGGGACATGGAGTGGCTGCAGCAGTGATTCTCATAAGACCTTCACCTGGAGAGTGGGGGACACAGGCTTTCTGAACTCCCAGCTGAAGGCCCACCTCTGGGCACCCCAAAGGAGGCTTGGAGAGAGACTGGAAGTTCTTTCTGAGATGTGTCTACACAATTCTTGGCCTGTTCAGGAGCTGGCAAGGGTTAGGGGGTGACAGGGACTTCAGAGGCTACTGTACTTCTATCCCCGGGCACTGCTGTCAGCCCCGCTGGGAGCCCAGCAAGCTGTGCTTTCAGGATTGCAGTGGACACCAGCCCCTCCATGGAAGGTAGAGTGACCCACATGGGCATTAACATATGACCCTGTGGCTGGTGGGTGCTCAAGGCCCTACCTGCTGGGATGGCCCTGGTTACTGTGCCATCAGCATTGAGCTGAACTGAGGACCTCCATATCTTCTGGGAAGAAGGGCACTGTCCGGCCCACCTTACCCAGATGAGATACCCTGGACATCTTCACTCTCTGATTCAGCCTCCACAGCCAGCAGAGAGACTGGCTATGACAGGCAGTCAGGTCAGCTGTGGCTGAGCCTGGGACTCAGGCTGAAGGCCAGGGGAAGAGGGATTCAGGCAGGAGTGTGCTCATGACCTTGGTCTCATTACCATTTTGTGAGCACAACCAAGTTCAGTCTCGAAGATCTCTTTCACATGCTCTTGACCAGTCTTTAACCAACTGCTGGTTCCACTTGGCATTCAAGGTCCACCAAAGCCTGGCTTCCAAATGCCTCTTAGCTTTATCTGCCCATCCCCTCCTCTCCAGCTAGTGTGGCTAATAAACAGGGTGATTATAATGAACATCTATGTACAGCAATTTCCATACTAAGCTCCCTCTGAGGTCAGAGAGATTATCCTGTTCATTTTACAGATGGCTCAGAGATGGTAAGACACTTGCCTAAAATCACACAGCCAGTAAGGCCACAACCCACATCTGGACTTCTGTCTTTCAAATCCTTCAGGAATGTCCTAGAGTTATGTCCCAGCCTGTAATGCACATTTCCTTGCTGGGGCCCAAGGGGATGGGGAAGAAAGATGTTCTCTTCACCAATCAGCATCAGTTACACCAGTGGCTCTGTAAGTCAATAGGCACTCTCCCTGTGCACGGCCTGTATGCTGAACAGAGATGGCTAACTCCTTGAAGAGTCATGCTCCCCTTGCATTGTGAAGATGAGGCCCGAAAGCAGCTGCCACACCAAGGACTACATTTCCCAGCAGCCCCTACATCTGTGTTGGACCATGTGACTGAGTTCTGGCTGATGGAAGAGGATAGAAGTAATATTTACCACTTCTAGACCTGGTGCTTAAAAACCACCTTGCCATTTTTCTGAACCAGCTTTTCTCTGAGAGAGGTAAGTGCTGCCAGAATGATTTGAGTGGCTATTTTCTCAGTCTCCCACAAATGATAGATACTTAGGGCTGTCCTAAATGCATAGGAAATAAGTTGATTCATTATACACAATGCATGCCTGAGAGCATTACAGCTTCATTCTCTCAGAGCAGTGAGGTGACAAGGGCTGCTTCTGTCTCTCCTCCCTGGTCTATGTCATGCCCAGAGTGACTTTGGAAGCCTCTTGCTGAGGCTGGTAGTCTCAGCCTGGGTCCCTGAATGACTGCGTGGAACAGAGCCACCACATGCCCTGGGGCACTCCAGAGCAGGACTTGGTGTGAAAGAGGAATATGACATTTGAATAGTGTCAAGTCACTGACATTTGGGGGTTTATTTGTCACAGCACCTAGTGATATCTTATTGCAGAGGCTGGAAAGTTCCCAGGCCCTCTACAGGTCCCTACCTTCCCCAATAGCCTGAGGGGACAGTCTTGTAGTGCCCTGTGTGGCATCCAAGAGGGATGAGGCCTTGGGATCAAGCCAGTAGCCTGAGATGCACTGAGGAGGTGGCCACAGTGGGTAGAGCTGAATGAGAAGCAGAACTGGACTCATATGCCAGACAGACTGCAGGCTCAACTGTCAGAGGGCTTGAGAGTTAGCCAGGAAGGCAGGATGAGACCCTGACGAGAAAGACCTGCCCCTTCGGGTTCTGCAGATAGTTCAGGAGCCCACGGGCAGACCACCCTTTGAGAACTACCACTGTAGGGGTGCGACAATGTGCTCTGCCACATCTAGGAGGTTTCACATGCGCCTGTCCCCAAAGCCAGCCTCCAGAGCGGTGTGGCCAGGAGAGATTTCCCCGTGGGACTCTGTATCAAAAAAGGCTGAGGGGAGGGGCTGAGAGAGGGAGTCACCTACTCACAGTCAGGCACTGGGGTAGGCCCAGCTTGGAGCAGGGGGAGAGAGTGGGGATGCCTTGGAAGAAGGGGCACACTGGGCAGGCCTTTCTACCCTCCATAACCTCCCCCCCTCCTCCGCCTCTGCCCACAGCTCCTACAGCTCCAGAGCCGCCTGCTGGGAGAAGTCAGGCCATCATTTTCTCTCCTCCTTTTGCCTTCCCACATCCTCCCCTCCACACTCCACCCTCTCAGCTCCCTAAGAAAGCAAGCCTTCCCCTCTGGGTGTCAAGTTCTTAACAGTGACTTGGGTCTCAGTCCTTACTGCCCGCGCCCCCGAAGACAGAGGGTGGGGAGCTGCGATTTATAGCACAGTACAGAGCCAGTGCCTAGGGCCATCCTACGTTTAGCCAAAGAGAGCAGCGGTTCCACAGCCAGGCCCCTCTACGCGCTTGGACAAAGTCTGTTCAACTGAGCACGCAGCATAGAAACCAACACAACCCGCGTTTTAACTGCCTCCCGCTCTCCACCACGCGCCAGTGCCGGCACCCAGGGGATAACTCCTTTCCACTATCAGGGCTGGCAGAGTGCTGGCCCCTTGCCACCATCAGAGCTCAGCCCTCAGGTTCCAGTTCTCCAAACCCAAAAGTGGTCGCCTCCCCACCCTACAGCCTCCATCGAACCTGGAGGTCTCTGTCAGGGCAGCCCCCTCCCCCATTCATAAATGCACATCATAAATGCTTCCAGAGGCCAGGAGTAAAGACAGAGAAACGACGGAAAGACGGTTCCTAAGGGAGGGCGCTCCCGACCTAGCTAGGAACGAGTAGCACATGCAAATGAGCCGAGAGGGTGGGTGCTGGTTCCGGAGTCCCCCAGGGCGTTCCCTCACAACCCTCGCCCTGCGCCCTCCTGGTGCGTGCGCCCCTTCTCCGCGCCCTTACCTGAGCCGTTCCTCTGGCGCAGCAGAACCGCCTGTCCGGATGGTGGCGACGCTGACGAAGCAGCAGCAGCTGCCGCGACAGTGGTGGTGGCCGTGTGGGCCGCGGAGGCTGCCGCGGCCTCGGGGACTGAGGGACCGGCGGCGGCGGGAGGACTCCCGGGCGGCGGGGTCTTGTCTCCGCGGCCGGGCTCGGAGGTGGTACGGCCCGCTGCGCCCGCGTTGTTGGCGTTGGCGGCACTGGCTGGGCCGTGGCGACGCGGGCCGCTGCTCTGGATGTGGGACACGGCCTCGGCGGCCTGCATGTTGGGCGGCGCGAAGCGCGAGAGCACGCGCAACAGCGCCTGGGCCTTGTGCTCCTGCGTGTCGTCGTCGCTGTAGTCCGACACGCGGCACTCGTACACGCCCTCGTCCTGCAGCCGCACGGCAGACAGCCGAAGCCGGTGTGAGATGTCATTGCCCTGGACGCGCACGGTCTGCAAGAGAGCAGGGTTAGAGGCCGGGCTGGGCAGCTCCCAAACCTGCTCTTCTGGCCGCCTTGGCCGTCGCGCCCCCTCATCCGCGCACCCCACTTCCCGGACCCTGGTTTGCCCACCATCACGATCCGGCTTCCCTTTCAACCCCGGCTGCCCGGTGGCATCGGGCTTACAACTCTGCGTGGACGCCGGGCCGCCTGCTCTTGTGTCCCCACCATCTTAACCAAACTCCTGCCCACTGCCCTGCCCATACAAACCAACACTGCTCGTCTTCCCGTAGCTGGTCCTTCAGACGGACAGAGCCCACCTCTCCTTCCTCCCTCCCTCACTTTCAGGAACCCCCAGGCTCCCTGTTCACTAACTGCACCAAGTCTTTCCCGCCGCGACTCGCTCCAACCTACAGCGCCGCCCCAGCCGGCCCTCCACACCTCCCTGCCCACGGAGGGCCTGCCTGAATCGCGTCCTAAGGAGAGCCACCCTGTCCCCAGACCCCGCCTTCACAGCTAACACTCCACCCTCCCAAGGAGGCAGGCTAAGCTGAGGCTGCTGCCCGGCTCCCTGGACACCCCGCCTGTGCGCAGAGTCTCCAGAAGCCCTCAGCGAAGTGCTCCTCCACAGCGCCCCGGTGGGGACTTCGGGACGGAACCTCTCTGTGGCTCTCACCAAACATCCAGGGAACCCTCACCTCTAACCGAGCCCACGAGGAGGCTTCGTCATCGCCAGGCCCTCCTACGCTCCAGCTGGGAAGCTTGGGCACATCTCCTCTCAGTTACCAACCCCAAGAGCCGGGACCCGTGCATCCTGGCACGACCACCCCCTGCCCAATCGCCCCGCAAGCCTGCAACAGCCCGCACCCAGACCCGCAATCCAGGCGGAGGAGAGAGGGCTGCAGCGGAGAGTGCGGAGCGGATGCTCAGGGCGGGGAGGAGGGGGCGGGAAGCTGGAGCCACGGTCGCAGCGAGGGCGAGCAGCCGCGCGCTCCCGGTGCTGGGAGAAATGCCCGCAGAACCAAGGCGATCAGACGCGAGGAGGCTTGAGCACATGGTTGGGACCAAGGGGAGTTTTACAGGTGAGCGCCAAGCCGCATCAGGGGACTCAGGCCTTGGACCCTTGATTTACACAAAAGAGAACCCGACCCTGCAACCGGCGACAGATGGCGCCCGGACACGCCAAGCAGCCGCCAATACGAGGCTGCAATCGCGGCCTTGCATGCGCAGCCCCCCTTGCGCGGCCGCCGTGGCGTGCTAAGGGGAGGGAGCTGCGGGGCGCGAGGCGGCCAGAAGGGGTCTCCCGCGGCCCGCGCTGGGCTCCACACTTACGCTGATTTTAGTTGCATCCTTATTTGTTACCTAAAATGCAAAGAGGGAGAGAGAGAGACATGAGGCTCGAGGCCTTCTGGCTGGGGGAACTCAGATCCGCCTTTAGGCAAGGGTACCCTCCGCGGGCGGGTTAGGACTGAAACCGCCTGGAGGGTGGGGGTTGAGGGCACAAAGGACGTCCGGATTTCCAGGAGTTGACCGGGAGGAAGCGGGGTTTGGAGCTAGCATGGTGTGGTGCCTGGCCAAGGGGTGGCTGCCCTGGTGCACACCTGCCGGCTGAACTGGGGAGACTGGATGGCCACCAGGGTGGGAAGGAAGGCCCCTCTCCTTCTCGTCTGGCATCCTTAGGCCCTGCCCAGTGGCTCAAAATCCTCCCCCAGCTCACTGGGAGCCGTGAAGAACTGGAGGGAGGGGACCTGTGTCTGGACGGGACCCTGCGGGAGGCTCAGTGGCAGTAACTCTGGGTGGGACCCTGGGAGAATGTAGGTGTGTATGTGCACGCATGCACCCTAGAGTGTGGGTTTGGAGTGTAAGAAGAGTGTGGGTTTTGAGGCAGACGGGCAGCGTGGGCCTGTTTTCAGCCACAGGGAGGTTGCCCCCTCTATTGCCCTGAGGGCTGGAGGTCCTGCCGGCTTCCCGGTACTCGGTTTTCTGCTGGCCTCTGGAACGCAGTCCAGGGAAGCCCTGGGGTCCTCAAAGTGGCAGAGGGCAGGGACAGCTTGATGGGACCAAGAGGGTTTCCTTCACTACTCAGCACCCATCAGATGCTGGGGCCGCAGCCAGCAAGCAAGGGCCAGCGACCTGGGTGAGGTGTGGCTCTTTAGGGGCTGGGCGTGAATAGAGTTCCGGGAGGTGGCGGGAACAGGGATGCTGTCAAAACAATTGACAGGTTTGGGGGTAACAACTGCTGAGTTTGAAGATGCTTGCGAGGGTGGAAGATGGGCCACGCCACAGGGCGGCGCCCTGCGCGGGTGAAGCTGGCTGCTTCCCTCCCCGGGTAGCCCTCGCCGCCCCGGGCCCGAGCCAGGAGCGCCGGCACCGCGTGGGCGGCGGGTTACCTTGCTCCGGGCACCGGGCACGCTGAGCGCCAGCTCGTGCAGCAGCTCCCGGGGCGGCTCCTTGAGGTACCACCACTGAATCTCCAGCGAATACGAGGTGGCTCCGCTGGCCCGGAACGCACAGGGCATTTCGATGTCGTCTCCCTCCCGTACTGTCACATCTTTGGGGACTTCTGTGAATGTAGCTAGGGGTTGGGGGAAAGAGAGGCGTGATCAGCTGTAGGGCGGGGGCCTGGGGCAACCCAAAGGGAAGCGGTCGGTCTCTGGCTGTCTGACCTTGTGCCCCCCACCCCGCAGCTGTTCCGTGGCGCACGGCCGGAGGCGCTAGCAAAGTTCGGGGAAGCGGCAGCAGGGCCGCGACAGGGACTGGCCACTGGCAGCCCGCTGCTTCCCTCTGGATCGCTCCGGGCGGTAGGGGCAGCTCGTGCTTCTCTCCCGCGCCGGGCCGCATGGTCGGAGTATGGCTGGGGCTCGCCAACTCCCGCTCCCCGCAGGCCGCCTTTCCGCAGCCCGGCCCCAGCTGGACTGGGAACGATTCGGGCGCTGCGCTGCCGCTGCGGCGACCCTTTGCGGCTCGCCTCCCTCTACCCCTCCGGGCCCCGGGCTGCACAGCGGAATTGCTGGAGACCGCGTAGCTTCCCAGTTCTAGGCGGCGGCCCCAGCAAAGAACCCCCCACCCCCACCCCCCCGAGCCCACCGCGGCAGCAAAGTTCCCGCGCTCACCGTCGGCCAGGAAGAGCAGCAGGGCATGCAGCAGCAGAGGCGGCAGGTATCCGAGGGCACCGAGCCGGTTCCGCTGTTCCATCTCCCGCGGGGGGCGCGGTGGCGGTGGCGGGGGCCGGGGAGCGGAGAGGCGGCGGCCGCGTGGGCTCGGATCGGCTCCGGCTCCAGCTAGGACGCCTCCGAGCCTGCCATGGCCCCGCGCGGCGCCCCCTCCCCTGGCCGCCGGTGGCCGCCAATCAGCCCAGCTCCCTCGCCGGCCTGCCCGGCGCGGCTCCGGCTGGGGGCGCTGCGCGGGGTGTGCGAGAGCCGCGGTCCCGCCGGGAGGGTGCTGGCGATCGGTCAGTGCCTCTCTCTGTTCCTTCGTCCACAGGACGGTGGGGATCCGCGGTTCAGTCTTTGCCCGGAAGGCCAGGCAGGGGCTGGGCCGCGCCAGGACCCATCCCTGGCCGAGGGAGCGCGCGCCTCGGAGCCGCGAGCTTCTGCCTCCTTGTCTCCTTCTGGTTCTGCTCCCGACTGCCACCTCCTTCGGCTCCCGCCGCCGCCCCCGCCGGTTCCTCCGCGGCTCTTTCCGCAGGGCGAGTGGGCGCTCAGCCGCGGCGCGCAGACCTGGCGTCCGACCCAGCGCAGCGCGGGGAGAGCGGGTCCGGCGTGGCGGACCCGGAGCCGGAGAGAGGCGGGGAGAGGGGGAGGGGAGGGGAAGGGAGGGGGCGGTCAGTGGCTGGGCTCCAAGCCTCCTCCACCGCTGCATCGCCCCCGCCCTCCCCTCTCCTGCCACAGCCCGCCCCGCCCCCGCCCCGGAGCGCGCCCTCTTTCTCCGTGGGGGTCGCTCGGAGGGACCACCGTCTTTCTGGTTAGAGCACAGCCCCGCCCCACTCCCGCTTGGGTTGGGAGTCCTCCCACCCAAACTCTCCCTGGCTTCTTCCTAGTCTCCACCGCTCCAGACGGCCGCTCATCCCTGCTCCCCGTGTGTCCCGCGGTCCTCTCCGCAGCTCCCAGTCCTCAACTCCTTACCCCAGTTTGGGCAACCAGCTACCCCGCTGTTTGGCCCAGGCCCGGGCCATGGCGGGTGGGTGGGCGCCCAGGGCCGCGAGAAGGGCTGAACGCTGTGCCCAGCCGGGGACGAGGCTGGGTGGCGGTGCCGGCGCCGGGAGTCTGCAGTGCGCGAGGGAGAAGTGAGCGCACAGCTCCCAGTGAGCAGGTGCCTGTGGCGCGGAGAGCGCACCCGCGAGCCAGCCAGCAGCGGCCGTGAGTGACGGCAGGGGTGGCGGGGGTGGTGTGGGGAGCGCCTGGCACGACTCAGGGCCCGGGAGGTTTCCAGGCGGGGGCGGGGTTCCTGCCCCTGAATCGCGGGTTCCTGCATCTCCACGCGCTCTTCGCCGGTCGTGAGCCCTTCTTTACCCCGTACAAAGCGAGATCCCGAGGCGGCAGGAGGCCGGAACCCATCCCTCGCCTGCTCTGGCATACCGGGCATCCCGGTACCTCCCTCAGCCTTCACCCGGAGCCTACCCCCTCCCCAGCCATGTGAGGGAGCACGGTCTGGTCCCCAAGGGAAACGCGGGGTGGACAAGTGGTTCGGAAGCGATGCGTAGTCAAGTCCCAAGACTCGCCTCGGGTATCTCCTCTCTCTTTCTCCGTGGGAGTTCCTAGCCAGCGCATTTCAGCACCTCTGCCCCTACCCCGGCCCCCACTCCTCAGCTCTGACCTGAGGTTGGGATGGGGCAGCCTGGTGGATTCACGTGTCTGCTTCCCCGGCCACCAGCCCCAGCCTCCCGGAGGCAACGCCAGAGGGTTCCCGGGGGGCCAAGGAGAAGGCAACCCAGAGGGAGGACACTTTCCAGCAGCCACCCTGGTCCAGGCGGCCAACGCAGCACAGCACAGCTCAGAGGGGGAGGAGCCGCAGGCCCTCTCCAAGGCTGTCTTCGCCAGCGGGGTGCCTGGGCCGGCCCTTCCTGCCTCCCTCTGCCTGCCTTTTAGTTTCCTCGTTTATGGCCCAGGAGTCACTCCCAACCCCTGGCTCACTGTGGCTCATCTATCAAGCCCCTGTTTGCTAAGATCTCCTGCTGCCAGCAGGGGGATCAAGGGGGTACTGTAGGACTTCCCTCTTTCCCTCAAGTTCCTCTCTAGGGGCTCCACAGAGGCAGTTGCCAGCTCCTTCGCTCATGGCAGGAGCTTTTCCCTGGAAATCCCATGTGCCCTTAGAAACCACTCTGGACCTCCAAATGTAAGACCCTGCCAGTCCCCATTGCTGTCCTCAGCTTCTGAAGGGAGAGGGCAGGCTTGCACCACGCTATGCAGATTCAGGTTCATGGTGGGGTTCCAGGAAAGCAGGCTCGTTTGGGGACTGATTCCAAGCAAGGGTCTGAAGGAAGAGCTAGCCCACTGAGCAGCTGCCCACCTGGAGAGGAATTGGTCTCCTTTCCTGGTACCAGATCCAAGCAGAGGCTAATACTAAAGATCAGCGATGCCTATGGGAGAATCCCTGTAGCTGGAGGGAATTACCTGGAAGGTTTACTGATCCTTTATCCCTGTACTGCTTTTTGGGGTTAGGTGTTTCTTGTCTACTGCATGAGTTGGTATTGCTCTAAGAGGGACAGATACATGTTTTCACATGCTTTTCATGTACTAGACACTGGTTGCGCACTTTTAAGCATCAGTTCTCAACGTGACAGAGATCCTTCTCACAGGGAAATCAGATCTCTCTTCCACGGCTGAAACCCCGCAGTGGCTCCCATTTCACTTGGCATAAACACCAGTGGCCTTGCAGTGGCTGCCAAGGTCAAAACCGTCTGCTTTCCTGCTTCCTGCTCGCCCCCTTCCTTCATGTCCTCATCTTTTCTGTCTTCTCCATAGCTCACACTTTCCTAGCCACACAGCCCTTCCTACAATGCAGCTCACTGGGCAGGCTCCTACCCCAGGGCCTTTGCACCAGCTGCATCATCCGGCTGACATGCTTCTCTCGCAGATACCTG